GATGGAAACGCGAAAACGGCGTTTCAGAATCTTCCCACTCTGAAGGCTGAATAAAAAATTTGTGCGTTTAGGCCAGGGTTCGGCTTCGTGTGGACGGGGCCTAAGAAAACAGCTGCATTACTCTAAAATCCTTTTATTATGAGGTTCACTTCCTGGTTTGCATATTTTTTTAAAGCTCCCATTAATAAACTTTTTTTCCCTTTGCTGCAATAATGGAACAAAATTTACTCAATAAATGTTGAGGGCAAAGAAAACAGTTATCAGATGAAGGAAACCAGGAAACTACCTGATTTTGAGGTAGGCGATAATCAGCACACCAGTATAGAGTCATTCCCAGTGAGTACACGACCACCTGAGGATCAGAAACACAAACACTTTCTGAGATTTAAATCCAAATCTAAAAGCCATGTGGAGCTAATTTTCACAAGAGATTTTCTTTAACATTGACAGCCATTCAGATATTCTCAGTGTTTGTCAGAACTCAGAACAGAAGGATCCAGTAATTTGAGGCGGACAAAACTGTTTGATTTTTCAGAACGTTTTATTAACAACAGGATCGGGGGGACAGTGTTGACGTGTAAGACAGGAACCTCTGCGGGTGGAGACAGCAGGTTAGTAACCGCGTCTTTCTGGAAGTGGATGATCACAAACGAGTGAGTCACTAACCTGGTCTTCTAGGTCAATCTGAGTCTAGAGGTAGAGGATTGTTCCGGCCGGCTGGCTGCCAACGCGACGCAATGGCTGCCGTACAGCGAGTCTCAGACACAGGTGTATTGGAGGTCAGAGGACAGGCAGTAGATCAGAATGAAGCAGACAGATGTAGGCAGCATAATCCAGAGGGCGGAGCCAAAGCTGATGTCAGAGATGTGGTCGGTTGTTAGAGTCAGGAGGTTGGAGATCCAGAGAGGCCCGAAGGAGAATCCAAGACAGAGTCAAGTAACAGTTCTAGGTTCCGCACACAATGGGGCTGACAGCCTCAGTGGTCGGGAAATGGTTCCGGTCAGTACACAAGCAGGCAGAGGTAAGGCAGAAGTCAAAAGACAGATCAGGTAAACAGATCGCACAGGAACAGGTATGCAGGCTAATAGGTCGAGAGGCAGAACAGGTCAGGATCAGGCAGTCAGAAAACAAGTACGCTAGAGTAAGTCTCACCACGCAGCTTGAAATAATCTGGCACTGATGACTGGTCTGAAGGCTGGTTAACTAGAGGGTAATGACAGTGGATCAGATAAGCAGTTAATGACAACTGGGCGGGGCTAAGCAGGTGTATGAAATGAGTGACCAGATTCTCAGACCAGACATTAGTGTCAAGATCATGACAGAACTTCCTTTTGATTGCATATGTTTCCTCCACCATTAGTTCACCGTTACACCCGCTGGCAAATTCCAGTAAGCCTACACTGGTGCAGACTCGCTATTTAAGGCCTGTATGATCCACTCGCCCTACCCATTACATGGTTTGAGACGGCCCTTAATGTGGGGGATCCTCCACGGGAATGCAAGAACAGAGGGATAGCGTTCAGGGGGCGGTTTGGGATTCAGCTGCAGAATGATCAAAAGGGAAAACTAGAGGATGGGGAAGGGACCGAAGACATTTGGATGATTGATATGCAATGAGAAAATATCATCTAAAGACAACATATTAAAAACTACAGCAAATATGAAATTAATGCAGAGAATGCTAAAAGGAAATAACATAAACACCAATGAATCTGAACAGCAAACAGAACAGATAACAGAATCAAGGCATAACTGAACACTTTAACAGAACCAAGATGTCCAAAGAAAAGCAGATCATGACAGATGTTGCAGGTGTTGATGCTGTAGAGGTCTGTCCTACATACAATCTGAAGAAGCCTCTGACTGAGAAAAATGTTGAGATGGTCACTGTTGTCCATAATCTTCTTCATCTTCAAAAAATCATCTTCAGAAAGGGTAGCTGGAAGAACTTTTGAACAGGAGTTGTTTTTGTTTTTTTGGACACTCTAAAATACTATGGTTACGTTAATCTGCACCAATAGATATGAAAGTGCGCAGCGGCACCATTACTCTGAGCTACAGGCGGGGTGTCCTGCCTGGTTACACGTGTCCAAAGGTTCAGGTGCGCTCTGAGGTCATAGAGATAAAGTCTCTCATGAGCGGAAAAATCCGAAATGCGTTTCTTTTTCTCCTTGTTTCTGTCACTAGACTATGTCAATTTACTAGTCTGCTGTCTCAGCGGGATAC